TCCCTAACGTTCTGTGATTCTGTGATCTCAGATCTCAAAATGACCAATGGCCATTTAAAGTAAATTCCATTACATTTCTCTTTGAGGCCCAGAAGAGCCTTGAGAACTGTGCCCCAGTCTAACCTGGAGCTTTCCCTTTGTATTTCACCTCCCTGAGGGGAAGAAACCTTCACTACTCTTCAACAAAAGAAATGTTGGTTTGAGCCACAGCTATGTTCACCTCTGCACAGCTTCAAGCCCTGCAGGGGTTCATTTGCCCCGGGAGGGTGGCAAGCACAGTGTGCACAACACCGAGGGTCTGAGCTACCTTTGGGGCACCGCAGAGTTTCCACTGGCATCTGTGACTTGAAACTCCAAGCTGTCTGAGTTCGCTTCCTGCGATGGATTGATGACGTAAAGTATGATTTTGCTGTTTAAATCCTTTTGGCTAAACCATTCCTGAATAAATCCACCTGGGAAAGAAGAGGAACTTTCAGGTGAAGCAAAAGCCTATTAATGAGACCAACACAGCTTATATAGACTATTTTCAACTTTTCTTTTTGTTGAACACTTAGAAAATTTGAACTTACAGAAACCTGGTTTTATTGCTAAAGAGTAACATCCCAGCTTTTTATAATTCCCAGACAATTTTTTCCCATTTGCCATGTTTATCAACTGGCCAAGTTCAATGTTAATTTTTTTTGTTTCTTGTCACAAACAAAAAATTGTTTCTTAATGACATCTATTAACAATCATCTGAAACTCTTTGAGGATTCATGATGAACATGAGACCCAGGTTTTAGTGTAAAATCTTTCTTACTACATTCAAAACTTACCCAGACTTTGCTAAGAAATTTTTATTTCCTCTATCAAGCAAACATTAAAAAGGTAGGTTTTGGAATCTGGTCTGGTATGTCTCAAAATACAGAGATTATAGAAGACAGCACCTGTTGTTACATTTTCCAGGTAGCCATGATGAGGACCTCGTAAAATCTTAAAAATTATATTGTCATCTTCTGTATTGGGGTCAGATGCCTTCAGAGCCCTGGCAGTAATATAGATTCCGTAATTGCCATTCTTCAGCAGTTCCACATCAGAAAAGCAATGGAGATGAACTGGTTTTGGTGCCATTTTGTCCAAATGATCCACCTAAATCAAAGTTAGACAAGCATATATTCAATTTACAGCATCAGGATATTCTCTGTCCTACTTGTGCTAAAAGCACAGTAACCTGCTCAGGGTGGCAATAGCAGCTTTGACTCACAGTCTGTTCCAGAAGAAATCTGATCTCCAGTTAAGTACTACTTCCCACGGGAGTTTTCCAGGCCCAGACTGCCCAGTTGCTCACTGCATGTAGTGGGATACAGCACACACTGGAGAGGGCAACACAAATTCTGTGTATCTCTGCCCTGATGTCCCACACTCCTCACAGTCCTTTTCCTTTTTGGTCTAATTTTCTTCATAGCAAATGAAAACTCCAGCAAAGGTTTCTCATCTCTATTTTATAAATAACAAGCAGGAAAACCTATGGATTATGATTATTGCAGTCATAGACCTGGCCAATATGTTTCTTTGACTCTGTGCCACCTTTCACAGCTTCTGATGAATCTTCTAGCACACTGCAATGGTTGTTGCGGTTTCCATATCTCATCTTCTGTGGAAATGGCACTCATCACTCAAACTTTGTCATCAGGAAAAGTTTGGAGCCTCTTCATTAGTATCAGTGTTTTGAAACATACAGAATTTCGACATACAGTGCAACCAGATCTGCTATGCACACTGAAACATGCCAAACAGACACATACTAGAAGCCAAAGCAAAGGTGTCTAAGCCTATGACACAGTGGGAAAAACTTGAAAATTAGGGAAATGGGAATTGAACAGAAAGATTCCAGACAGATCCTAGTAAAGGAAGGAAGAATCAGAGCAGTCATCTCACAAAGACTTCCAGAAGGAAGACAGGCTGTCCAGTTGTGGGAGCGACATGGCTGTAATTCAAGATTCATGTGACAAAGATCAACAGTCATCGCTGCATCCTTCATGTATGTATCAGTGGGTCAGGTACCAAGTGGGAAAGCTGAGCAGGAGAAAGTTCATTCCTCCCCACAGGTGGGCTCAGCCTTAGGGTTGATATTTTTATGTAAAATATTTTAACAATTGTAAGTATCTAAGTATATATTTTCTTATATAAGCAGCATGTATTTCTTCTTTTAAATGCAGTTTCTCTTTTTGCAGTCTATAAAATTCTTTACCTGAGTAATGCATTGTGGCAAGTAGTTAATTCTTCTTGTTAATTATTCATGGAACACAGAACGCAAACACTTTAGCTGATAAATACCTCAGTTGAATCACAGACTGCAGCAAGAACTAGCTCTCATCAAAATTACTATGTTTTCCACCTAATCATGCTACATATCTTTTTTTTAAGTAGACCTGTGGTCACACTTGCCTGAATAGTGAATGCCACTGGCTCGCTCTGCACTCTTCCATTCATGATGAATCCTTGGTTAGTCCTGTCTGTTGCAATAAATGTAAATCTGTCAGTGTGGGAATGTCCACCTTGGTGCTTGTATGCAACATCCCTGTTGTCCACATCTTGCTGGGTGAAATTGTAGTGCAGTAGCACAGACCCCCGATAATAGAGATGACCGTACTGGGGAAGCTGAGCCAAGAGGAAGGTAAGGTTTTCTTTGGCAGTGTCTGGGTCTGAAAGCTGCAGGACATCAGGAGAGAGGAGTGCCGTAGCCCCTTCCACTAATCTTAACCCTGTGTTCCTAAATAGCGTGGGCAAAGCTTGGTCGACTGCCTCCAAAGACATCGTGAATGTCCCATGCTTAGTCCTCAGTCCGTTGCTGATGATGAATCTGGCAAAGGGAGACAAGATAGTCTTCAGCATGTGTTCTTTATTCACCATGTACTGAAATGAAACGATAATACACACCTTTACTACAGGACATGCCTGTGTTGGTACTGCAAAAGTGGTAAAGCTGGTTTGCGCTCAAACCCAGACTGTGGATGGGGTGGATATGTAACTTAAAAACATGAAAACAGATGGCTATGTATATGAAAAATGTTACAATGCATCTGCAGGAATCTGAGTAGATGCCAGAGGAATGGCTTCGAGGATGTACCCATTAGTCTCAGTCGTCATAAAAGACCTGATCTAACCTTCTAGGTCATATACAGATGGAGCAGATGTAGAATGACGGGCTGGCTATGGAGCTTATTGCACCCTCCAGCATACATACAAGTGTTTGTACACATCCTTAAGTATATCCTCACTTGGTTACCTAGTAGTGGCAAATGCCAGTGAAAGTGCTGGCTTTATCTACAACTTACAGAAAGAGGTGTGTGAAGTGTGTAGTCTGCCTGGATAATGTTTTCTGTTCACTGTTGCCATAGCTCCAAACTGGAGTAACTGTTCACATACGAAATAGCTCCAAAATGGTCTAAAAAACAAGCTGGAAAAAGATCCAGCCTCATCTCACTTTACCTGTTTTTTTAGACACTATCAGTAAATTTCTATATATTCAGAGGAATTTACTTTTGTTACTTTACATAACTTAAAGTTTCACTTAAATACTAAAATTTGATATTGAAGAGAACTATACAGGTTGCTAGGGTAATTTTAAAGATTTAGATTTCCATTCTATGTATTCATCAAAGTGTCAGATCTGCAAAGCTCTTATTCCATGCTGCAAATTTCTATTAATAACAGCATAATTTCTTATAGTTCTCTCCCAAGCAGTAATATTTCTTTGGCCATACTAAAGATCTGATTATGCTTTACAGTTAATTTTCCTTTCCCAAACAAGAGAAAGACAAAGGTGCCCAAGGCTGGAGAGAAAATCTAACAGAAGCCTACCATCTGTGTAGGGGTTTTTGCCATACAAGTGACAGTGTGTTCTGCAGAAATTTATCAAATTTAGTTGTGGGCAAAAATAAAGAGAAACCCAATCTTTTAGCTTTCAAAATTAATCCCAGATTTCATTGTCAAGATTATTATTATTTAAGTATTTTTTTCTGAAAGCGATTATATTGCACAGCATTATGCCTGTATCAAAACCTCTTGTGGTTATATGAAACTAAAAATCTCTCATGATACTTTATATTCCATCACCATATGGTACAAAAGAGTTACCTTTCTTTCTACAGAAGTTTCTGTGATTATGCTGTATAGTACATGCAAAAGCACCTTGAAGAGTGGTTTTTACTCATGTTAGTTCTGCCTGAGCCAGAAGAGAGTCTGCTTTGCAAAGAAACTTGCTTGTGGAAGACTAGTCACATTCCTTGACCTTTCTTTTTCTCCCACGTTCCAATACCCAGTGCTTTGAATGTGCATGCAGCTACACTTAAGCTGTTGAGCTTGTATGGAACAGTATAATGGGATGGTTGTCTCAGACAATATGAGGGCCAGACTAGCTGGCTGCTTGCCATCTAGCATACTTCTACCATACATAGGTGAAATGGGGACTGGTTGACATTTAGATTATCTGCTTCCTCCTGCTCTCTTGACTGCAGACCTTGGAGAAGTATTTAAATAGCTACAGGGTCAGAACTCAGACTATTGTTGCATACCTTACACATAACTGACCTTCAGTAATTCATGGAGTAGCTTACTGTGTTACACAGACTGTCCATCTAAAACTCCTCCCTGGCTTCACAAATGCTGGATGATTAGGGCTTGATCAACTTGTAAGCTGGCAGTATTCCATGGAACAGATGGGAATGAGCATAGGCAGACCAGGGACTATATAGCAGTTAGAAATATGTTTACTGAGGATGGTATTCCCAGCTGGGAACCTAGAGACATCTGTCTGCACTAACCTAATGCTATTGTGCCAATGGTAAAAGGGTTGTGCTATTAGTAATCTAGCTGAGATCAAATTCAGAACTAGAATAACATTGATAAATACTGTGTTAAAGAAAAAAGAAAGACAAAACATGTTCAGACAAGACCTTATCCATCTCTCAAAAAGTCTGGAAGATTGCAGTGGAAGTGAGTTTCCTCTGTTTTTTTTGATGGCTGTAAAACTATTTGGATGATGTGTCAAACAATATAATGATATTTAAGTGAAAGACTTAGATAATTCAGTTTATGAAACAGAAGATTTCTACAGTCTTATACAGAATACCAGATAGGAGCAAACCTCCTGGTTACATACATCAGACTGAAATTTATGATGCAAGTGTTGTATGCCACTTGATTTCACAGGTGATGAAGCTGCCTGTGTTCAAGATGGCAGGTTTTTTTGCACTTTGGGAGATTTTGGTTGTTTATTTCTGGTTTATGGCTGCTTCATCTTTCCCTTAGGAATGGAAAGCAGCCAATATTCTCCTCACTCTGATGAAATTTAGGGGACAACTCTCAGGCACAGTTAGGAGGACATGTTGCATGGTTTGATGTCACTATTACCAACATTTCATGCTTTCTGCAGTTTGATGGCAACAGAATTGGCTTGTAGGACCAACCATCTGTCATGGCATTTAAAAGATAAAAATAGAATCATAAATAGTGCCAGCTCATTACAAAATCAAGCCAGTGTGTCAAAATGGAGGACATTAGCATGTTCTTTTAGTATCCTGCTGCCAGCATCTGATGTCAGGTTGCTAATCACTTGAAGTCATCTGTCCAAATAAGCACTGCCAAATCTTTCTTCCAGGCCAGCAGCACCAAACAATACAGGCAAATTTATGTCTGAAGGAAGTACTTCAGTGGAAAACAAAAATCTGATCAGTTAATCCCCCTTGCCTATAATTACCCATGTAATTAATGTTACCATTCCTTGTTTAAATAATAATAATATTCTGCCACAATATTTATATGTCTACATAAAACCAAATCCTTTCCCAAATGATATCAAGGAACATCCATTATTGTGATTAAAATAGTTATTGAATTTATTAAAACATCATACACTTACTTTTATGAGACTGACTTTCTAGTTTGGTTCTAAGCCAGTGGCCTAATCAGAAGATACTGGCTTTATCCACATGCACAGTTTCCCTAGAAATATTTAGTCTGATTTCACTAGTGTGGTATAGAAGTCATATTGGTGCAAACCACTCCTACACTGCCCAACCTAGGGTTGGCATGACTGCAACCCTACTTGTCTAAGCTAATTCTAGTTTTGGTCATAGTGTTTCACAGTCAAGAAATGTAAAGCTAGAGAATACTTTTTGACTTCTTCTGTTATGACTACAAGTGAATCAAACAAATTTCCTAACTAGGATTTCCACCACATTGAATTTAGTGGAAGGCCTGGTTTAAAATGTTTCAACTGAGTAAAGTCCCAAAGTTACTTTTGGCTTAACACAAGATAATGTCACCTGGGCTGCCTTGGTGTCATAGGGAGGTTTACTTGATGTCTCCATGCACAATTTGGTTTGACTTCCCTGCAAAAAAATCTCTCAAACTGGATGACAGAACATGTCCTTGAATCAAGCATCGTGGAAAATGCTGTTCAGATCAGGATTCTATTCATAAGAGAGTGTTAAAAGGCACCTTTTCAGAATTGCAGCTCTTAAGAAAGAAATCCTCCATTTTTCTCAGTGACAAATGAAATTACAATAAGCTTTTATTTTTGTGTGGAAAACTTGAATATTATAAAAAGTCAGTTTCCTGTCAGAAGCTCTTCTTCAGAGGAAGTTGCCAACACTAGCAAGTAGTGCTCTTCCTTTAAAAACATTTTCATTATATCTGAGCTTTTTTTTCTCCCTGAATTTGCTTTCTTCTACAAAACTGTCCCCAAGACTTTGAGAAACAATACATCTACTCTGTCTTTACCTGATGATAACTCACTACATCACTCCACTCTATAACCAAGGGAGGTTCATTTAAGAACAAAGAAAGAAAATAATCACTTTGGGAGTGCACCTAATCTGAGCTAGTCTAAGGTGAAGGTTCAGAACAAGATAAAAGTAAACTTAAATACCACCAGGATGCTGAATTAGGCCTATAGGTAATCACGTTTACCCCAAAAATCCAATTGTCTACACGAATTTCTGAGCTATTGTAGTGTCAGAATAGATACGTGCACTGGTTTTCAGTATGCTCAAGAACTATTTATGGATTCAAAAAGCCTTGAAGCAAATCAATACAAATAAGAATAGATAATAAACCGGTTATTTAATACCTGTATGGAACAGTTTTAACACATCCAGCTGTAGCAAGAAATCAAAGGAAATTCCCACAAAGTAAGTTCTTCGTTCTCCTTCCCTATTTAAATCTTAACAGCTGTGTATGTTTGTGTTCTACAGCAATATTGAAGCTAGTATCATTGGGTGAGTGTGGCTTGGACTTTCAGTTTCCGCTTCAATTAGAAAACACATTTATTACCAAAGCAGTCACAACTATGTGTATTATAGTAGAAATATCTTTGCTATATAAATACTGAGAATCCCACCTCTTTTTAATAATTTATTTTGGGTTGTTTTTGTTTGGTTAGTTGGTTGGTTTGTGTTATGTTAAGGGTTTTTAAATAGCCAGGAAGTCCAAGAGGAACAGTCTGGGGAGTGGGATGTTATGCCTTACCTGAATGTATCTTCAGGAACAACTGCCTTAGTGTTATGAACATAGCAGACTATCTGTCTTGCTACATCCATTTGGCTGAAGCTCGTAATGGGGATGCCAGGATAGCTGACATACTCTATTTGCCCATATTGGGGTGGGGAGGTTATCACATAAAGGAGCTCCTCTGGCTTGTCAGTACCATCCAGTGCAAGGAGGACATTGGTTGTAATGTAGCCCCGATCCCCTTTTGACACTCTAAGAGGTTTTATGAAAACAGCAATGTCTCCTGCAGGATAGACAAAACAACACTAGAATAGTCATATTGAATTGTAAGTTGATCTCTTATGCATTATTTAGCCATATGCATCACCAGTAGAAAAATTATAGGACTGTAGGATTATAGGGAAATTCAGGCTGGCAGCAATTTCAGGATGTCATGAGTCCAACCTTCTGCTCAAAGCAGTGTCAGCCACGGCATCAGCCATAACCAGGTTGCTCAGGGATTTATCCCATCAGGGCTTGAAAACTGCCAAGGATGGAGACAGCCCATCCTCTCTGTACCGTTGTTCCAGTCTTAGCAGTGTCAGGTTAACTTGGTCTAGTTTAGGTTTCTAGTAGGGGTGCAATAAAGGAAGTGAGGTCATAGGACTAGAGCTTAAACCTGGAAGACAGAGCTGTTCTTAAACAGTGTTTTGCCTTCCTTATTACATTCTAGACATTTTTCTGCGTCTTGATTTACGCAGACACAAAGCTAGTTTCAGAAGGGTATTTTCAACACTATTTGAAAAGTAGCTGGTAGTCATGGAAGACAAGATGCAACACACTTCCTTACGCAGAACCTATTCAAATCCCAGGACCACTTTACCTGCAGGAACATCATGGCTCTGGCCAGCAGTGAAATCCAAGCAGACAGACTTTCTAGGTCTGTAGGTAGACTTGCCAAGGGCCTAGATAGTGCTCAGGGAAGGATCAGAACATGTACTCAGATCATCTTTGTTTCAGAAACAGCCACTGTAAAATGTCAAGCCTGGAAAATATTTACCCTTTTCCATGTCCTTGATATTTATGTAGAAGTCCACAACTGGAGATCTGTTGTACCCATCCCATAGATAAAATGTGAAGCTGTCTCGGTTCTTGGACCCTATAGTTCCTGTATGGACATATCTCACAAGGTTCATATCTAGTTCTTTCTGAGTGCATTTCATTCCAGTTTGGAGAGTCATCCAGCCTTGGCTGACCTGGAAAGAGTAAATGTCTGTCATTAAACAGATAGTCCCCCATGCATCCTCCCCAATTGAGTGTGTTTGTTTGCAGTTATGCAGACTGTTATTGGCAGCTACCAGTCTTCCCTTCTAAGCTATAGACTCTTTCCTCATAGTATGTTTTGAAGTACAGTAAATGGTTGGAGTTGTTCCCAAGGAGCTACAAGGCAGGAGAAGATACAGTGATCATGCATAAAATGGAGTAAATTGAGTTTAGCCACTTTTACTCCAGGAAATTTATTTCTGCACACTTCTCAATGAGACACCAAGATGAAAATGAAATGGCTCCTGACCCAGCTTATATTTTCTATTTCTTAATTTCACAAAGCTGCTCTTGGTTCTATCCGAAACCATACCTAAAGGGCTATCAGAAATGAGCCTGTGGGGAAGTTCAGGGAGGCACAAAAATTTAGATCTCCAAAGGTCATCTGACAGAAAAATGCAAATTGCCTAATAAAATTTCCTGCTTTGCAGAAGATAGTGTAGTATCCTATACTGGACTGATCTGTGTATTTGATATTTAGCCTGCAGTAACAGTGTCAGTATTTTTGGAGCAAAGGTTATCAAGGACGCAGAGCTCAAATATACGTGGATACTCTATACATTCAAACAGTCAGACTCCAGCCAGTAGCTGTTTCTTGCAGCAGTGTGTGGGGCTGCTTTAATTTACAAGTCCCACATGATCCACAGATTCTTGTAGGCATGCAACATCAAAATAATCTCCAGGCTCACAAATCTTAAGAAATTCTTTTTTTTCTATTATATATGCATACAATTAGAAGGAGGCATTTGTTATATCTTTGTTCCTGTGGCTTATCTTTGGTCAACAGATGGTCATCTTTCCTTCCATTTCTAATCTTATTTTCTCCCTTTCCTCTTGTTATATCCTTTTCCATCTTCTTCCATGTTTCTCTTCCTTCCCCCCATACTTTTCTTCCAACTCAAGATTTATTTCTCACTTGTTCACACACATTTCCCTCCATTCTTTCTGAACCCCAAATGAAGTGTAGTGGCTTACTTGTACATTACAAGTAATGGCTTACTTGTACCTTTTTTCTATCGAGGACTTTCCCTCCAACTTCTCCCAGTTTTGATATTTGGTTTTCCCCTTCCCTGGGTTGATTCTCCCAGCAACTGTCTCCACTGTCGCTTCAAATAATCTGCCAAGCTTTTCTCCCTCCCTCTCCTTCTGTTAAGGATCTGACCTTTAATGTCAAAGCCTCTGCAAGAGCATCATTGTTTGGTTCAAACACTCTTTTGGAATTGGCACTTTCTGCACTCTTTCTGGCCACTGCCTTCTACTTCAAAACATGACAGACATTTGGGAGAGAAGGAAGATGATCTTCATTCTAACCTAAGAAGAGGGAGTTCTTTAGTTTTTGTGGAAGTACAAAGACTAACCTTGAGCTGAAGCTGACCATTTTCTGGAATTCTTTCAAATAAATAGTAGATTTTCTCCCTGGGGGTATCTTTATCTTCCGCTGACAGAACAGCACTAGAAATTATTCGAGTTTCACCCATGTTCACCTGTATGTCATCCTTCCTGCAAAAATTAAAAGTCATGTATTGATGTAATAAAAGAAAATTAACCTTTCCACCATGTAATTTCCATACCAGGAGTATGGATTACTCAGATGCTGACAGAAATTACAACTGCAGAAAGAATAGAAAGAGGATGCCTACTTCAGCTCAAAACAGGGTGGACCAGCTTCTATTCACAATTGTGAAAAACAACAAAGCAGATTGATCCTACAACAACCTGGGAATTACCACATCTTTCTTCTTCCCCTGGGCCCTATGCCACTTACCTTCATACAATTTATAAAAAGAGGACAATGTAAACAAATAGGCTGTGTTATAATTTACTGCTGCTATAGACCATAGCAATACTGGCTCTAATGAACTGATCAGAGAAGAAAACGTTTTTCAAAAGACTAGCCTGTCAGTGTATTTCAGAAGACTAGTCTGTCAGTGCTCACCTTAATCTTTAAGAGACACTCAACTAACTGGCTTATTCTCTGCTCCCCATTGGAGAATATTCCTGGGTTCTTGATTCAAAAGAGTAGGTTAAGGCTACCTGTTCATTGGCAGAAATGGTCATCACTAGCCACAAATAAAATTCAAGGCAGCTCTGTGGAAAACAGTCCCTCATAGTTTGTAATTCATGCAGAGTCTTGCTCCTGGATGATTCTCAGATAATGTCTCCTCTGTTTCCATTCTCAGCTAGTACCCATGCTCCAGTTTGCCTCTGCACACTCTGCTTTATCATTTTGCTGTTAGCTGTCTTGCATTTTTGCAGCATAGTACCAAAACAGTATTATTAGACTATACAAAAGTTTCAAGGAGGTTGGAGAGGATCCCCAGATCACCCCAGAGATGGGGTGCTCGAGCTAATCTGCCCAGGGGCCACAGAGCAGGTTGGGAAAGGAGACTCCTTAGGCATTTGGGCAGCTAAGCTCTGACTGGACACAACTGAGCATGTGCAAGCCATGCTATTTCAGAGGCCATAAAAAGATAATTGTTTACAAGAATTCCTATAGACACAGTCTTCATACAGCAGCCTTTTCCTTTGCCAAGCAGCAAGTGCCTGCTCCAAAGCACAGTGACAACTGAGATTTCCAGAGAAGTTGTCACAATTACTTAGTGATTTCGGAAAAGACATTTATCATTCTCAGAAAAACTGGAGATTTTTTTCCTGAAGTTTCCTATTCTAACTGGTATGGATGTGAGGCATAGACATTTCATGTTCAGCAAAATGAAAAGCAAAGAAAATGGAGTCATATGACAAAGTATATCAAGTCATATTAATGACAGATCAAGCGAACTTAATGATTTGCTCATACCAACAATAATCATACTGGGACTATTCAAACAGAAAGACTAAGTTTCTGACCCAAAGACTGCATGAGCTAGGATAAGAAGATTCAAACAAAAAAATAAGTTAAGATACACTCTGAATGCTGTCTAGTTTCAACTCGTTTTTCTGTGTAGGAGTTAGTTAATTAAGTCCTCCTAGCACCCATGTGTCTCATCTTGAGAAGAAGCTTTCAAGGGGAATGTGTTAGGGCCTTACATTCCCCAAGGGCACTCCCTGCTACAAGATGCAATCCAAGAGGTGACAGATTGAGTTTTTGGCAGTCACTGTGAATAACAGCCACTATTTGCCAGCCAAAAACATCCCATCCCAGATTCCTCAGTCTGTTGACCATAGCTAATGAAAATGAGAACTGAAACTCCCTGGGGAGGAAAGGTGTCCCCAGATCAGAAGGTGAGAAAAAGTTTACATATATAGTCAAACATTTGCCTGTAAAATACTGCAATGGCGTAAAGGAGCTCCTAGCCCACAGCAAAGATGTGGTGTCTTATTGTGGTCGCTAAACCACTTCAATGCCAAACTGAACATGTTTCCTTAGAGCACCACTGCTTAACCACTGGCAGCATACTGCACCTCTGTGGAAGAGTAACAGGCAAGAAGCAGTAACTTCTTACAGTGAAATAGCTATTTTGCAAGTGGAGGGCTCGGTATGTACTACTGTTTACGAGAGGAATGACAAATGGTGAAATCTAACATTGCCAGACAAGGCAGCAACAGTTTCTGGATCCAGTTAGGCAAAGCTAAAAACACTTGACTTCTTGCACTGCATCACCCTCCTTCAGAGAGAAAGGGTGGAAAGTTACATAGCATTCTTTACCACGTGGGGAACAAATAGACAATTGTCAGTAATTATCAGTACATTATATGAATACATAAACTATATCATTTACTCTAACTAGAAATTGACTTTCTCTCTTGTTAGCATTATGATAATCTTTCAACTATGAAAATACCATTTGTTAATGCAGGAAGCCCTACATGTTAAATAAATATTCAAAATTCTCTGCAGTGGGAAATGTAGGTCTGATCTGAAGGTAAGGCAAATATCCTGAGGGATCAGAAATTCCGACTTTAGTGGCAGCCTGCTTAACAAGTTGTGAGTCATTTCTGAAATGCAAACTTTAGAGGTTCGGAGCTATACACCCAAAGCCTTTGGGCCCCCAGCTTCCCATCTGCCTGCCTGGGGCTGGAAAGCAGCCAGGAGGACAAAGGCCCTGATGCTTTGTGGCAGGTCATCAGCTAAAAAATGGGGATCCCAAGGGATGAGCTCCTTGTTAAGATGTCCAGGAGGTTTGGCTCTCTTGCAGTCGGCTGCCTATGTGCAAATAGTCTGTCAGGCAATTTTTGACCACATCTAATCCTAGTTTTGAACTGTAAGAGAAATTAGTGTGTATCTTTTCAGAAGTTGATTCTGGCTGATCAATCGGGTTTTTAAATAGAAGAGAGGAGAATCATTAAGCTGAAAGTCTTGCCCTTGTGAGGCAAAGGAGGCGTCAACTTTGAGGATTCTCTCATGCCAAACTCCAGAGCTGCTTTCAGAGAGGTGTTTTAGACAGGTGGTTGTCCCAGGAAACAGGAAAACAAAGTGACTGAAGGCAACGCCATGGTAGACGTGGCCAGCAGAAGCATGCAAAGATCAGGGTTCTCTGGCAAACATCTTGAAGTAAGCTGTGAAAGACAAAACAAGCATGTTCCCTAGCTTTCTTTTTCTCTATTCTTCTAATATTTGGCATCATTAAAGCATGCTCTTTTTTCACTAAAAATGTTTTTGTTAAACAGGCTGATGGAAACATCTGTATTGACATTAGTCTGTGGCTAGTTAAGGCATTCTTTCCCCATCAGTCACCGTTTTACTGTTTTGATCACTTTGGGATCATTTTATCTGAACTCATCCCTCTGTCATAGACAGGAACATGTGGCTTACTTGCTCAGCATTGGTTTCTCATCATTAACTGGAATGACCTTTACTGAAATGGTTCTGAGGACTTTATGTTTCCCATCTGATAGCTGGATTTTAAAGGTGTCAGTGAGGTTTTCCGAATTGTCATGCATGTACATCAGCTTCATTCCTATGCAGGGAGTGGGAGGAAGAAAAATATCAGAGAGAGAGAAGGAGAGAGAGAGAAATGGAAAGAACAAATAAATCTGACTCCTGCAAAATCTCTCACATCATTTCACTTTGCTTCCATCACACTTCTTCCATCTCCCCTCCCCATACGCCCTGGTCACAGCAAGCTTGTTTCAGCTACCAGAAGAGGAGCTTGGCAAGCCACTGCTGTTCGTTAGTCTAACAATATACTATTGACTCAAAGACAGCATCCTAACCTGAGTAAGTAGTGACTCCCTTCACAGAAGGGTCTCTGTTGGTCTCATTTCTTTTCCTCTTCTCATTCCAGTTCATTTTAACAGGGACTGTAGAATGGGTGAGACTATCAGGCAACACTTTTCTGTGTCTTAAATAATCCTCAGCGAGCTTTAAACACGCCTCAGGGAGGACAGCTGGCCTTGTGGCTATGACTATGGACAACCAGAAGATCTGGTCTGGGGGTGGCTCAGTCACCATTGTGGACAGTAAAAAAGAAATGCCAAGCGATTGGAAGAGAATCAAAACCAGGACTTGAGAAGGCTGAGGAATTTGGGGTGGGGACATGATATTTCTGAAAGTTGATCTTAGATGGGCAGACAGGAGAAAAATCTTTCCTCGGGTTTTGAGGGCTGAATTACAACCTGAGTGGCAGGGTTGAATTAATGGCTCTCTTTGTATTTATAGATCCCATGTTTCACTAAATGGCCACAGTCTAGAAGAATCCACCATGTTGTTGGCATTGTTAAATACACTTTTTGATTACAATGTCAGAAGCATGCTGCACCTACCATTCTTCAGTAACTCCATGGAAAAGTCACGAACAAGTAACCCATGGCTGTGGTGGTCACGATTAATTAACTGTTTATAGTGTAGAATATCATTGCCATGAACTCCATTAATAAGGAACCCATGCCAGGGCCTCTGCACAACCCCAAATACCAAACGGTCTTGAGGCACATCCAGATCAACTGCGTTGATAACAGAAAGGTCCAGCTCTTTCATTTCCCCCTCGTGAACCTGAACATGAAAGAAAAAAATCTCCAATTCTTTTACATGAAAAGAAGTTATAGAATATTAGGATGGTTTCCTAATTCGGATGTTTTTGTGTATGAGCGTATCTCTTTGTTTTCTCCACCCCTTCCCCAGTAGCTTTTGAACCAGCTACTGATTTCCACCAGTTTAAAAGACATCAAGTAATAAATGGTTTCAGTGGTCAAAAGAGAAGGTTATATAGGGAGTTAATATCTGCCCCAATATATAGGAAAGCTGTTAGGTGAGTAAACTTCATATTAATTGCTAAAGGATGCACAGAGGATAAAGCCTTTAAATACATAAATGTTTATACAAATATGGATCCATACACATTTATACACATACACACACTTCTTACTTTACAGTGAGATAAGCTTCCACTGCCCTAGCATGGTGATCACAGAATTACTATTTATATTAAAACCAGTCTTTAGCGAGGGGAAAGGATATGCCAGGAACACAAAAAACCCCCAAAAACTCTGAAAAAAAAATTATGAAAGGCTCTTGAGAAACCAGAAGAAGCATAAAGATACTTCTGCTTTCTAGATTACTTACTTGTTTAAAACTTAGAGCCTTCTTTTTACTTAATTGCAAGTTACCAAACAGAGCTGTGCCCTGCTCCCATCCCAATGAAGCTCTGTCTTACAGGTTTACCTGGGATTTAACTAGGCTTTTTCCTGTACTAGGCTGAACTGCACAAATTATGGGAAAGATGCAGGGGAACAGGTGTCAGAATAATGTTCTTACTTTTATTAAAGAATGTTTTCTGGTATAAAATAATTTTATGACAAGTATTTTGATTGTTTCCTTACAGTAATATTCCTTGTTATGAATTCTGGGACTTCATCATTGATAGGGTTGATCAGCACGGAAAATGGGGTCTCTGCTGAGCGATGCAGCCCATCAGTGGCATAAATTACAAAGTGGTCTGCTGTTGGCTCCATTCGCATATGCCTGGCTTGTACATAGTTTATGTTCAGAGCTATTAGGTGCTTTAGCTGAAATGAAGCTGGAGGTTATAAAGAGATGGTGAGTTAGCACAATCTTTTCCTGCCTTCTGGTCTTATATATCATAAAAAAATCTGAAACTGTGTCTTTCTTCAAAGAACAAATCAATTAGATTTTATAAGTTGTCAGTCATTTTTTGGCTGAGTTACACTGCAAATGTTACCACAGGACACATGCCCTTCCCCTGAAATAAAAATGCATCCTTCTGCTTCTTGTGGGACTGTGCAACTTCATACTTCTTAGCTCAGTTTGTAGAACAGAGCCCAAATAAAAGGACCCAGATAACAGCTAGGAGAAGATCTGAGGTCTAAGTAATTACACTGGTTGTTATTTGACTGATAGACCAAGAAAACAGGGATCAAAAGGCTCAGTGATTCTGAGTGTCCAGCTGTAAAATGCTGATAGCATTACAGAGCATGGCATAACCTGTTCTGCTGAGGATTACACTGTCTTACAATGTTTGAGACTCAAGTCAACCATCACTTTTTGTAAGTGTGCCTTGGAAACTAACATAGGACCCAAGCTTTTCAAATTCTCAGCTGCAGCATTTAATTGACAGAAGCACAGGTGAAAGGAAGTACAGAAGCCTTGCATGGGAGAATGAAGAGGGCGGCAGAGAGAGCAGATTAATGTCTCATGACGCCACTGTTAATAGATTGCAGCTGGAATGCATAAAATAGGGACTGGCTTGTTTACTTCAAGTGCCAATTCTTCACATTCGCAGAGCTGCAGTCTCCCTTTGAACACCTCCCACGCAGTCCCACTGCTCTTCATTTGCTAGCACCTGCCTTCCTCAATGAGCCCATATTAATGCTCACACCTGCAGCTACTTCACCAAAGCCCACTGCACAGCCCTCCACCAGCCCTCTGTATTTCATCTGCTTGATTACCTTATGTCATTAAGACTTACCTATACTTATGCCAATGTTGCTCTTCTCAAACCCAGGAGAAGGCAGTATATTTTCAATGTAACCAAACTGAGGAGAAGAAACCAAGACAAACTCTAAGTCATCTGCAGTGGTGTCAGGGTCAGCGGCAAACAAATGGTAGGTGGTAAGGGCTGCTGAGGAGCCCTCCTCCACCACAAACCTTGCACCTGCACACAAACAATATGATAAGCATTATTTAAGCTCATTTAACTCATTTTACTGTTGTCTTTGTTAACAAGAATGGAAATAATAACTATGGGGGGAAAGGCAACAAATACTGAGTTATTGAGGGGGGATTTTTTATTTTTTTTTTCTCTTTGCTTACACCATCAACTCTACTTTTGCTGTCATGTAAGTATTGAGGAAGAGGTTCATGAAATAATTTTACTGGTAAGTTATTCCATATGGTTTATGTGCTGCTCAAAATCAGTTGTTACCTCTGTCTGTCAGAACATTAATTACATGAGAGCTGTTAAGAATTGCTCATAATGAATAATTTTTCATGCATCGCTGCTTAATTTCCCTGCTGAGACAATGCTTCATTTCCAGAACATTACTTGGGTGAGAGCCTGCAAATTACAAAACTACTTATACATATGCTTAAATATTCTCTGAGTTACATAACATATACGTGATGCTTACAAAAAAATGACATTGAAAAAGGCAAGCATGCAGAAAGCATACCTTTAATATGTATACTACAGACTTCATCCAAAGCCCAGGAAGTCAAACAAAATTTCACACAGCGGGCTGTTATTGGACTAAATGTACATTACCAACACTATTTCCATTTTAACTGAGTAATTCTGGTCCTTAAAAGTACTAGTGAAAAATGTGGCTTCACATCTATTAATTTGTTCCATTACATATGTATCCTAGATTTGTCTATATTCACTATTAAATATATAAATATATAAATAAAATATTCTCTCCCTTCATAAAAAAGCCAAAGTCTAAATTTCTGTTGTATACTTTAGATGCAAAGGTAGATAGATGTTAATGCTTATGTTTTTTGCAGTGTATAAACCTGAAAAAGTTCAGTTCAGGGAAGATATATTGATCACTTTCACTCAGACATATCTTACATATGCAGCAATGAACATGTATAGATGAAAGGAAGCAGATCTGAGCACTCTTATCTCTAACCACATGATTTAAACGTGCAGCTGAACAACCACAAGCTGTTACTTGAAGCTGGATTTGGTGGCTGTACTGTTGTAGCAAAAGAAGAAAAATACTGATGGAAATTCTGATCCAAAACTTTTGTAATCTGATCTCAGCTGACTCCTTCTGATGCTAAAAAGCAAACAAACAAACAAAACAAATACTCTGAGTCTCTAGCTGTTACAGTGCTACATAGCCCGTATTATAACGTGAGGAAGCTTTCACCAGTTTCAATTGATGGAGGCTGGTTGTCCACTGGAAGTACAGTGATGTTAAGGTCATATACTGGAAATAGATCATGAAGCAGAACTGGAGGAGGAAGAGGTCCATCATAACAGCAGTCTTCCACATCGAGGCCAGCCTCACCATCGGAGACAATGAAGGTTAAGATCTCAATGGAAGGAGTCAGGCCAATCTCCCCACCTGGAAAAAGTGTTACAGTTCAGAAGAAACGTTTTACCAAACTTCATGAAGAAATGTTTTGTATCATGAAAGGACAGTCGGCAGTATTCAAAGCCAGAAGAAAACAACAGCAAGATTGCTAACTAGAATTCCTAATTCTGGCTGGTGGTGGCGCTGTTTGGTTAGAGATTTATGTTTTGTCATTAAGTTTAACCAACTTCTATTCTAGAATAAAAGGGTGTAGAAAAGTATACAACTAAGTTAACATTACTAATAGTTATAATATTACTATGTTATAATATTATATTTTAAATGTAATAAAATTGCTAATAGTCCTCATGATTCTGTTGTTTGTGTATTAAGGCATATGCAAAATGTACATTTGTGTAGAAAAAGAGGG